GTTCACTATTTGTTACGAGGGAGGACTGCAAAGAGAGGAACAGCCAGGTGTACGCGGAGCACGTGCACAAGTGCCGACAAAGTTATTCAACCATTTACCTGTACTGTGCTGTCTCCATCCTTTCTCGCACACCTGGCTGTTCCTCTCTTTGGTTTACATAAAAGTGAATGAATACACACAAATGGTACAAATACAATATATATAGTGAAAAATAATGCAAGAGAATATTTCAAACAGCTTTTAGCAGCATATGGGAAATGTTCTATTTTAAGAACGCTTTAATCACTTTTGACATCAAAGTTTATCTCCCTTGAACAGACTGTCAACCAGAATTCTTTCTTTGCTTGAATAAGCAGTAGTTATTTCTCTTCCTTGTGGCAGATACAATGAATTTTGAGCTTTCAAATGGAAAGTTATTAACAGCTTTGGTGAAGTTTTCAATGCATCTCTGCTTATTTCTTAAAGAGACAGACACACACAGACAGAAACATATACACACGCACGCACGCAATGTGTAGCATGTGAAACATTGTACGGGTATGAAACATTGTACGGGTATGGTGTTCGGAGTCAATGGAGGATATGATCCTGGAGCGATCTGATTACCTTATTCGACACATTAACGTCAACTGGAGCCTCGGGCGACTTGGCCTTCTAGATATTTCACGACGCACTTATTTGACACTACTTCAGAACAATCTCTCACCTGCACTTTGCATGGATTTGCTACAACATATATCTTATATTTCGAGGTGGTACCCAGGTGGATACATGCCTTTTAAGTGTGAAACGTGACGTATATCAAAGCTAGCTATGTTCTGTCAATGTTAGGTATGTCTAGGTGACGGGTGCAGAGCATGTTGGTGGTGTATGTTCCTGTGTGTAGAGCTCAGGTCACAAAGCAGGTTAAGTTAAGCAATGTCGAGCACGGAGAGTCCTGCCCCACAACGAAGCACATGTGATACATGTGGTCTCACCTTAGGCAAGTGAGTTTGTTCAAAATTGCCTCTTTCACCCAGCAGAAAATGGGTACCCGGTGAGATAAGTCATGTGACTATTAACCTTCTGGCGCCTCACATGCAGGTTGGGTTATCCGGGGTAATAATAATCAGATTCTGTTTACAGCGTCCAGTGAGCAACACGTCATGCAGATGGATGCTGGGCGCTATATAAATGAATTATTATTATTATTTAATATTATGGCCTCCGATCACCTGGTACCATCACTATGTGACGGTAATGTTCATAAGCACATGTTTTCGGCATAGTCGCAATCGTATGATAGTCATACCAACAGTCCGGCAGCACGGTATGCCACAATATACGAATTTGGTTTGACCTTTAACTTCTTAAAGTAGGCTGTGATAAAGTAGGCGCACAATTAAGTAGCATCAACATCGTGAGGAAACGTTTACATTTTAATCCAACAATTGTTTACTTTTGGAACATGGCTACAAAACTATCTTACACATTTGATTGCTAACGCTTAGCCCAACAATGTTAAAGTAAACAGCTGTATCAGCGAAACCAGTTCGGTGTTTATTTAATGACTGACTGCCTGACTGAGTTTGGGTTTTACGCCGCTTTTAGCAATATTCCAGCAACATCACGGCGGGGGACACCAGAAATGGGCTTCACACATTGTACCCATGTGGGGAATTGAACCCGGGCCTTCAGCGTGACAAGCGAACGCTTTAACCACTAGGCTACCCGATGAATCATGAATCAGCGCTCCTCTCTGAAACTAAGCTTACAAACATACGTTTGCATTCCCTCCTGAACAAAGAAGACGTGAGGCTATATACAAATGGATTAACTGCATAGTTCAGGTACAACAAGTTGGCACCGATGTCCAGACCAATTAAGTCTGAATAGGACCAAAACGAATGTATGTCCACATGTACCAAGCTGAAATACACAGTCAAGGCAATCATAGGTGCTCCTGACACAAGGTAAACGACTGTCAGAACAAAGAAGGTGATAGTTGCCGCCCTTGTCTTGTCCTTCGTGGAGGATCTGTTGCTGTTGGGCTCAACAACTGCTTCCCTGCTCCTATTGTGCATCCACAGCGCTTTGGCTATAAACACGTACAGGACGATAAGGGCTGTGGTAATTCCTACCAGTTCCACGCCGACAAAGATTGCATATAGGATAGATGGAACACTTCCTTTCTTATCCGAGAGGAAATCACATATCGGAATCTGGGCGACTTCGGCTCCCCATTCAATACATATGGGTGTGTGTCCCTGAAAGAATAGAATCGGGATCCCCGTCAGCATAGGCACACAGATGGAAGACAAGCACAGTTTTTTCACAAGGCTATCTGACATCTGTCGCTGGTGAGGTTTACATATTTTTCTGTATCTTTGAGATGCGATGATGATGAATATCAATCCCGAAAAACCAGCATTAAAGTGTTTCGTGAACGTCATAACCTGACACATGTTTCCCGCGTCCAGGCTTCCAGAGGAGGTGGTAAGTAGAAAGATGAGGGTTGTTGGTACAGCAATGGTCGTTCCGACCAAATCGAATACAGCTATGGTCTTTACGAAAAATCCGAAAATGTTCATTCTCAATTTTCGAGTGTATATGTATAGAATAAATGCATTTCCAAATAGTCCAAGCACCAGGATGAGGAGGAGAAACAGCACTGTAGATACATGTAATAACGCCAAGTCTTTGGTCGTTGTCACCAACGTTCTGTTCCCGCAAGCCATCGTCACAACTGTGTTGCAGCCCTCCTCCACAAATGCACGGATTGACAACGCCGACTGTAAAGTAGGGTGTATGTGTGTCCGGCGCTGATGTAAGCTTGACACAAGACCATAGTAATCGGAAGTATCTGAAGGACAGGAACAGGAATCCGGATGTTGTACATCACGAATGAGTCATGCTTGTAGTGAACAGGAACAACGTAGCATGTATATCTAGAAATTAACTATTAGGCATTTCACAGCAATATGGTAACCAAATTACCAGTTTTCGTGGCCATGATTTTGTTGAATAAAACTGAAAGCGCAATAACTATATATATTTTATTATTGAGTCATCGAGTTTCAAATGCCTTATCCAGACTCGATGTGTGATGAATGAGTGAATGAGCTGGGAATATGGCTGGTGTCTCCTTTCATCGTCATCTTTTGTCGTCGTTAATTTAAACGCAGCTGCAGTTGGACCACTGCTGTGTGTTAACTTGTATATTATTGCAATATCACTTGTGTTCCTAGATATCTTCCGCCAGAGCCTGGGTTACCTACCTGCCTCCCTGCCTCCCCTCTCCGCTCCCTACCTACCTGCCTTCTTTGCCTCCCTCCCTCTCTACCTCCGTATCTATCTATCTATCTATCTTTCTTTCTGTCTATCCATCCACACACTAGAAATCATCTACGGGTAGTTTTGTCAAGGCTGTATTAACTACCTAGTAGTACCATCCATCCATCCATCTATCTATCTATCGATCGATCGATCTATCCATCCATCCATCCATCTATCTATATATCTATCGATCTATCCATCCATCCATCTATCTATATATCTATCGATCTATCCATCCATCCATCTATCTATCTATCTATCCATCCATCCATCCATCCATCTAACTATCTATCTATCCACCCATCCATATATCTATCCATCCATCCATCGTCCATCTATCTACCTATCTATCTATCCATCCATCCATCTATATATCTATCGATCTATCCATCCATCCACCCACCCACCCACCTACCCACGCATCCATCCATCACCTACCTATCTATCTATCCATCCATCCATCCATCTATCTATACATCTATCGATCCATCCATCCATCCATTCATCTATCTATGTATCTATCTATCCAAACACTTTGTTGGATATGTATATGTGTATCTTAATATGTGTAAGCTTCAAGATTACCTTAGTTTTGAATGAAACATCCATGAGGTGAATTAAATATTTATGGTATCTATTATAGCACCCAGTAGATGTGGCGATATCCAAGTAAACATCACTATACATTACAATCCAGTATACAAGACAAATAGGGGTGAGGTTTTATATCTACTTACAAGTCATCATGCCCCTATTGCCATGTGTCCAGGGGACCAAAGTGGACACTTCATATTAAGGAAAAACTCACTGAGCTCCTAATCACAATGATACCGACGTTTCGGTGATAACGGTTACGGTGGTAGAACCTGCCACGATAGGTCGTTCTCCATGTTGTTTAGCTGTGTGTTAGTGGTGGTGTGTGGTCCTGTGTACACAGCTCAGGTCATAAGTCAGTTGAAGTGAAACAACGTTGAGCGCGGAGAGTCCTTGGATGGGAGACCCTGTTTGGCAGCTTGACTCCTGAGAGTTTCTATTACTTCAGTCCTGCCCCACAACGAAGCGCATGTGATACGTATGCTCTCACCTAAGGCAAGCGAGTTTGTTCAATATTGCCTCTGTTCACCCAGCAGAAAATGGGATAAGTCATGTGACTATAACCTTCTAGCGCCTCACAAGCAGCTTGGGTTATCTGGGGTAATAATGAACTGTGACTTCAAGCACTTGTATGCGCTTAGAGCATGTCCCTCAGTGATGTGGATGAGGCGCTATAAAAGCACTATTGTTATGTTGTTATCCTTCCTTACTGCTCCAACTTCTAAATACTTCTCAAAGAAGTGATTATCCATAAACTAAAATCCCACCCACGCCCCCTCTGAAATAAAAGCAAAAAAAAGCGTTCTATCTTAACCATTTGAGTACTCCAATGAAGTAATTAAGTTTGTGTATATGTTAAGTAAAGTATGGTTCTGGAGGACAATAATAAACATTAAATTACTGTCAGATAAAAACTATCGAATATTAAAGGTGAATCATAGAATATATTCGAAAATATTTAGATAAACATTAATGCTCAAAACTGTAGTTTTCTGTGTGGAGCCACCACACCAACGTACAAGTCATAAGTCCCATGGGTTTACCACGGATTTGTCGTGCAATGACGCTGCCGGATTCTCGCGAAGATTCGTGAGATCACACACTGCATAGGTCGTCACGCTTGTGATGAATTGCAACACAGTTACTGGACTACGGTAGTTTACTCATTGTCACTGGATATCCTTATACAAGACCTGGTTTCAGGGTTGTTGTTGAGCAAACACGTTGACATCAGGGAAGGCTTCCGACCGATGACACATAAGGTAAGGATATAGGCTATTGTGTATAAGAACTTTATTTTATATGCACTATGTTGACTTTCCAGCTAGATTTGCCTGCCCAGACACACGCACGTTTATATCTGATCAGTACTTAAAACTACGTAGAACGTACTTTCTCAAACACGTATATGACATTATAATTGTGCGTATCGTTATTCAGACCTTGATATTGCCTTGTGAAGTTACGACCCAAGTGTGAAATATGTAGTTCATACAAACGTTGGATAGAGTTGCTACAAATAAAGGTTATACAACTGAAATGCATGCTAAGTTTTGTTAATAACTTTAGTATATTTATAAATATTATTTGGGATGGGGGAACGGGTGGAACGCTAACCATGCATTCATTTAACAAGCCTTTCACGTTTAGAAATAAACAGTAACGCTAATTACTTTTAGATTGGCTCACGTTTTTCTCATGCGGTGTTATTTTTCTGTACTGTCTGTGACAGTGTTCATTCGGCCATGCCCCATTCGCTCACTGATATTTAACATGGCGCGCTGTGCGGGTACGGGCGGGTCAGAGCATCCAGAAATGTAAATCTGAAACGCATCAGAAGTTTGCTTGCGCTTGGCAACTCAAGCAAACCTCACCTGGATTGAAAGTTTAAAAAGGACGTGAACTCATGCTAGTTATTAGTAGCGTATGGCTAAAAAGTCGCAGCAGTTTAACATGACCCACAATGTTAACTAAATGACCCACATAACTGAGGGCTGGTGGGCCATGGGCTCACTTTTTAGAAATGCTTGAATGAACACTGTCTGTAATGTGTAGGTAGTCTATATTCTGAGTCCAACAAATGATATTCTTAATATAGAAATAAATGATTCATTCACGGTGTGAAGCCCATTTCTGGTGTTCCCCCGCCCCCCCCCGTGATATTGCTGGAATATAGCTAAAAGCGGCGTAAAACTAAACTTGCTCACTATTCAATCACGCTTTACATATTGCTTTATGTGTTTAGGTTTTTCATGTTTGAAGATTTGGATCAATGTTACCTGTGTGTTTCGTTGTGTGCGGAGCATATGGTTGTTTGTATGGTCCGTAGTGTAAACGGACGCCAATTTCATGGAAATAGGCATCTCCTTACAAATGTATGAAAGCATGAAATAAACTTCTTCAAAAGATTGAGGCAATATTTGGTTGATGTGACGGTTCTCGAGATTTTACTGAAGTGAAGTTCTGTAAAATCATTAGGATCCAGTGTAATAGCGAGGCATGGACGGTGACAATGAGGTAACTGAGTGTAATTGACAAGAGCTACAGAAACGTTTTGGTTCATAGAGTATGTGCTCGCATGTATTCAGTTTAACTGGATATCCTAATTATTCTTTGAGTAACGAAAATATTTTACTCTCTTTAACTCAACTCTGTTGGGTATTTGGAAGCTGTAAAGAAGGCACTTTCTAAAATTAGTGAGTGAGTTTAGTTTTACGCCGCTTTTAGCAATATCCCAGCAATATCATGGCGGGGGACACAAGAAATGGGCTTCACAATATCCTGGCTCAGATTCAACTGCAACAACAAAATAAAGTACGTCCAGGAAGTAATGCGCATGGTATTTCTCTCTTGCTTTATCAAGACCATAGCTGATGAGAATTGTAACATATGTTAGTAATAGATTGTGATGTCAAAAGGCACATGTCAAACATCACGTCATATCCTTGTTAAGTAAGTATATCTGCAGAATTAACTGTAAGTCGATGAGTCACGCAAACGTACCGTTACGATTTTAGTAGTGATAATTATGTCACTCATCTGGTATCAGTCTCAAGCTTCACTGTAAGTAGTATACGCTTGTAATATCCGAGTTTCATTTTAGCTACTGCTTTCTGGCTTTTCAGTTATGTGGGCATGTTTTCACCGACCACGAAATATGCAACTGTTTGTGGTATTGGCACTCTTTCTACAACAAACGTTCGGTCTTCGCATTTTTTCAATAATAGAGATTCCGACACATCGTTTATGCAGTGCCTTTCCGACCTTTTCAGCAATAGAGATCCGACGCTTCGTTTATGCAATGCCTTTCCGACCTTTTCAGCAATAGAGATCCGACGCTTCGTTTATGCAATGCCTTTCCGACCTTTTCAGCAATAGAGATCCGACGCTTCGTTTATGCAATGCCTTTCCGACCTTTTCAGCAATAGAGATCCGACACTTCGTTAATGCAATACCTTTCCGACCTTTTCAGCGATAGAGGTTCCGACACTTCGTTTGTCTAATGCCCTTCCGACCTTTCAGCAATAGATGTTCCGACAGTTTGATATTTAATGTCTGTTTTCTTCGTACTTGATCATTATATATGTGACTGTATGGAGTATTTACTCTCTTTCAACAATAGATTTTCTTCATTTGGCTTTTGTTTCCTTTTGTGTTTGACGATTGAATATTATTCCTGTACGGAGTATTTGTTAGATCGCCGCGTATTAAACAGCATGTACTTCCACGTAAAGTTCACCTCCACCTCGTGTCCCCTGCGTGATATTGCTGAAATATTGCTAAAAGCGGCGTAAAAACAAACTCACTCACTCATTCACCTCCACCTCCAACACGAAATAAGCAGTGGTATATACTGACATGGCAACTGAAGTTGATAGTTTTTCTGAATACAGCTTGTGAGTATTAAATATTGAAGCTTTCTCCTTTTCTTCATCGTTTTATTGACCATGTAAAAGCAAATCAAACCTTGAAGTTGGTTTACTGTCTTGGCCCCAACCCCGGCTCAGCGTGTACGTAAACTGTAACAGGTAATCACAAATGTCAAACTGACCATGACATATGTTACCTAATCTAGCCTACTGACAACGCCCACAGCAGAGGACAGCCGTACTGTACCACGCAGTTACAAAGCAGGAGTGTTACTCTATCCGTCATTGTAACCTCTGCTATGTTAATTCCATCAGGTCGTGCGAATTCCCGCGCAACTAGGATAAGATGTAGGACAACACCATGCCGCAACAGACTGTTAAAGGATTAAACTTGAAATTCCACCGAAGAGAAGAAGCTATGGTGAGAATCGTGTAATTTGTGTTACAAGGTAGTAGAGTTAACGTTGTGTCCTGACATGGCGCGTCGTAGAAGTTTGGTGAAACTGTGTTGGTTTTCTTTGTGAAGAAACCCATTGTAAATTTGATTTGTACGTTGAATGTTAACTGCGTTGTTTCAATGGTGTAGTCTCGAGAATATTGCACAACTCAGTTACAAGTTTAATCAAGTCAATGATCCCTGTAGGCAATGGCCTTTCATGGCAAGAACTGGAAACACCAAAGAGTAAGCACATGTAGACATTATTCGTATCGATGACAATCATAGTCGTTAGTCGGCAAGAAGTCAGCTTGAACACGTTCAAGAAACTTTACAAGACCTGGTAACGATTGTCATCGTTGATGTCTTAATTTGTATGTTTTTTATTAATCCATGTTTGTTTATCTCAGTATGTTCTATGTAAACATTATTATCAAACTTCCTTCGAAATTAATGCAGGAGGTTATGAAGATGTTAACAGTAGGTTCGCGTCAGATTGTAAGGTGTCCGCTTCCACTGCGCTTTGTTCACACTGGTATGGATCCCTAACTGAGATCTGCCATGGCAGGCAGATATGAAATGTTCGTTGATAATGGCATGTTGCACATACAGCCAGACGATCGAAGAAATATTCACGACAGCATCTGTTCCAGCTGGCCACATTATCAATATAAGCACGTCCTAGTCTCTGAGGTTGTGTTGGGTGAAGAGCAGTCGGTCATTTTGAAAAGAATATTCTGCTACGAATAAAAATGTCGCCAGGACCTACAAAAGTAAAAAATAGGGTTTCTCTCTCTTCCATGTTATTTTTACATTTCGGTCTCTGAAACCATCCTGCATATACCTATCTTACATGCGCCCTACCATGGGCAGCCCTACCATGGACAGCCCTACCATGGGCGTGGTCTAGAGGGTCTACATCCGGTACCCACATCGCGAGGAGGGTGGCAGGGTATGACGGGAAGCAACTGTCTGCGTGGGAACCGTATTCCATAAGGGATCCTGTCCTCAACATACAGGTTTACACCAGGCTCGAACTCAGATACCCCTGCACCACGCTATTTTAGCTCTTAACTTCCAGTCCATCTGCTAAAGAAAACCGTCCAACTACCTGTTAAATGTCACAATGTGGCGGTTACAGTGGTGACTCACACCCTTTCTTACTGTTATTTTCTCTTAATTCAAAACTGCAAATTGCATTTAATGTTGGGATATTTCTGTAATTTCCTGTATCCACATTGTTTCACTACGTTCTTTTGTCAGCTTGACAGATCAATCGATCAATGTGCCAGATCATTTTACTTTAATCTTGTAATTATTTGTAACTTTCCGGATAGTAATTTACCTTTTACCTAAGAATAATAGTGAAATACCAAGAAGTTATTTGTAGATGCGGTGAAGAAATCGCTTCTTTTCATCATTCACGCTGCTACGGAAACGGCACTGTTGATTCCAAAGGCATATATGGCGTTTGAAACTGGTGAAAGTATAACTGCTCATTAGGTAAAGGAAGCTTATTCAGCTAAGGGTGTCAAAGTCAACTATCATCACCTCCAGTGCCGGCTCAGTTGCCACAAGCTCATTCGTCAACGGCTCATAGAATTACCAGCACATAGCCGGCTGATCAAATAGCTAGTATATACCGTGCCAGCTTTTCAAAAATTCAGGGGTGGTGGGGTAGCCCATGGCGTTCGCTCGTCACGCCAGAGCCGGGTTCGATTCCCTACATGGGCACAATGTCTGAAGCCCATTTCCGGTGTCTCCAGCCGTGATATTGCTGGAATATTACCAGCTGATCTAAAAGCAAGATCCCATATACAGTCAGCTGATTCAATGGAAAGGACCCACTCAGCCAGCTGATAAAATAGCCTAGATCCACACAACCAGCTGATCCAACAGTCAGGACCATCACAGTCAGCTGATCCAATAAAAAGGACCCACAGCTGATCCAATAGACAGGACTCACACAGCCAGCTGATCCAATAGACAGGACCCATACAGCCAGCTGATCCAACAGACAGGACCCACACAGCCAGTTGATCGAAGAGACAGGACCCGCACGGCCAGCTGATCCAATAGACTGGACCTACACAGCCAGCTGGTCCAACAGACAGGACCCACACAGCCAGCTGATCCAATAGACAGGACCCATACAGCCAGCTGATCCAATAGACGGGAGCCACAGCTGATCCAATAGACAGGACCCACATAGCCAGCTGAGCCAATAGACAGGACACACACAGCCAGCTGATCCAATAGACATGACCTACACAGCCAGCTAATAAAATAGACAGGACCCACACAGCCTGTTGATCCAATAGACAGGACGTACGCAGCCAGTTGATCCAATAGACAGGACCCATGCCACCAGTAAATCCAATAGACATGACCTACACAGCCAGCTGATCCAATAGACAGGACCCATGCAACCAGTTGATCCAACAGACAGGACCTACATAGCCAGCTGATCCAATAGACAGGACCCATACAGCCAACTGATGCAATAGACAGGACCCATACAGCCAACTGATGCAATAGACAGGACCCATACAGCCAACTGATACAATAGACATGACCTACACAGCCAGCTGATCCAATAGATAGGACCCATACAGCCAACTGATGCAATAGACAGGACCTACACAGCCAGTTGATCCAAAAGCGAGGACCCACACTGACAGCTGATCCATTAGACAGTACCCATACAGCCAGCTGATCCATTAGACAGTACCCATACAGCCAGCTGATCCAACAGACAGGACCAACACAGCCAGCTGATCCAATAGTCAGGATCGTCAAAGTCAGCTGATCCAATAACCAAGGTCTACCAGTCAGCTGTTTAGACAAAATAACATGAGGGGAGCAACACCAAATTATTCATTCTCCCTGAAATATATTTTGTACGAAAAACAAGGACCACGAGGTATCCATAATGTTGCATGAATTATGCCAAAACTGTCCAAAACCATACTCAGTCTCTCACAACCATCAACACATCTGACGGTCATTATCTGTATCTGTATGTGGACGGCGGTCCATATAACGACCAGACTCGCTAGTTACACCGCAAACATTAGCATCTGTGACGGCGGGCATGACGTCATCACGTTGGGACACAAAACAGTAATTGCCTCAGGCAGCACGTCGGTTCATATATACATGACATCATGCAAGTTATTCATCATTTTACGTGCGTGGAAAAGCAACTTTTAGGTCAATAACTGTGTCAGTTAGGATTTGCCACATTACTTACATTTGTGTTATTTCTATATACGCCTATTTCATAGACCAATGATTCGCATTTACTAAACGAGCCAGAAAGCGTTTCCGATAGCAGTTTAACACAAATATTTTCAATTCGATGCGCTTTGCGAGCGGGAGTTAGTATAGGTGCAAAAGTACATGTATAAAAACAGTTGCTGGATCCTGTCTATTGGCTCAGCTGGCTGTGTGGGTCCTGTCCTTTGGCTCAGCTGGCTATGTGGGTCCTGTCTATTGGCTCAGCTGGCTGTTACGGTCCTGTCTATTGGCTCAGCTGGCTATGTGGGTCCTGTCTATTGGCTCAGCTGGCTATGTGGGTCCTATCTATTGGCTCAGCTGGCTATGTGGGTCCTGTCTATTGGCTCAGCTGGCTGTGTGGGTCCTGTCTATTGGCTCAGCTGGCTGATGTGGGTCCTGTCTATTGGCTCAGCTGGCTGTGTGGGTCCTGTCTATTGGCTCAGCTGGCTGTGTGGGTCCTGTCTATTGCTCAGCTGGCAGCTGGCTGTCTCATTGGCTCAGCTGGCTGTGTGGGTCCTGTCTATTGGCTCAGCTGGCTATGTGGGTCCTGTCTATTGGCTCAGCTGGCTGTGTGGGTCCTGTCTATTGGCTCAGCTGGCTATGTGGGTCCTGTCTATTGGCTCAGCTGGCTATGTGGGTCCTGTCTATTGGCTCAGCTGGCTATGTGGGTCCTGTCTATTGGCTCAGCTGGCTATGTGGGTCCTGTCTATTGGCTCGGCTGGCTATGTGGGTCCTGTCTATTGGCTCGGCTGGCTATGTGGGTCCTGTCTGTTGGCTCAGCTGGCTATGTGGGTCCTGTCTATTGGCTCGGCTGGCTGTGTGGGTCCTGTCTATTGGATCAGCTGTGGGTCATGTCTATTGGATCAGCTGGCTGTGTGGGTCCTGTCTATTGGGTCAGCTGGCTGTATGGATCCTGTCTATTGGATCAGCTGGAGATACAACGGAAGGCAGAATGAGAGATACGGTCGCCTCAAAGGTATTCTCATTGAATATGGTCACCAATAGAAAATGGCGGTAACGAGCGGTTGGACTTGGAAGATAATAGCCTTGTCTTCTCGTCGTTAAGTAGTCAGTGATAGCGTGAACGTTATAGGTAAACACGTCTGTTTGGTGATCACTTCTTCCGTATGGTCACTCTCTGCAATTTCTACACTAATTCATTCTGAATAACTCATTTTTAAAATGCCCCAATTTCAGAATCAACGCTCTCATATTACTATATAAAGGAAAATCTCAAACGAGACTATTTAGCAAGGAGTTGCAAAGCAGGTGAAAACCAGAGTTGATGACATACTTTTCCTGTCTGTCTGATTGCAGCAACAGTGTTGACAATATAAGTATCTGTCTGCTTGCTCTAGCAGTGTTGACAATATAAGTATCTGTCTGCTTACTCCAGCAGTGTTGACAATATAAGTATCTGTCTGCTTGCTCCAGCAGTGTTGACAATATAAGTATCTGTCTGCTTGCTCCAGCAGTGTTGACAATATAAGTATCTGTCTGCTTGCTCCAGCAGTGTTGACAATATAAGTATCTGTCTGCTTGCTCCAGCAGTGTTGACAATATAAGTATCTGTCTGCTTGCTCCAGCAGTGTTGACAATATAAGTATCTGTCTGCATGCTCCAGCAGTGTTGACAATATAATGTGTATGTCTGCATGCTCCAGCAGTGTTGACAATATAATTATCCCGTCTGTCTGCTTGCTGGAA